TACCCTGAGGGAGGGAAGGGATCTTCAGTGTTGGAAGAGTGACACCTTTTGTCCTTACTTACATGAATAGGAAGGATAAAATTTCTGAGGCTCCTCATATCCTAGTTTCAGAAATAGCTTTTGTTACGCCTGCTAGTCTGAGGAGGGATCCCAAAATTCCAGATAGTCCCCCCTATGATGGGGCTTTGGGCAAAAATTATGTCTTTTGGATTGGTGAACCCAGGTGCCTAAAGAAGGTAACAGAGTCCTGGAGTTTATACTAGAAATCATTCTTTTAGGGGAAACTAGAAAAGCACCAGAGACAGGGAGTGGTTTTTAGAAGCGGGACTAGCCTTGGATAAGAGAGGCAAGTGGCAGTTTGTCTGACGTGCATTAGGACCCAGGAGGCAAGGGTTAGGATAGATAGGATAGATGGGTGAGTCTTGCTTGGGTGACATGACTTTGAGAGTTCTGCTCATGGCCCCAGGGTCAACCAACTTGTTGTTGGGACCCCGGAGCTGAATGGCTTTCCTCTCTGTCGACCCTTGGCTCAGCCCAGGAGTACAGGAAAAGCAGAAGCTGGTTCCAGGCAAACCAATTCTCCCATCTCTGAAGAGTCAGGGGTTGTTAGAGAGCCCTTTCGCAGAAAGCCTTACACCGGTGTCTGTAGTCCGGCAACCACGCTAGTCACTTTTAACTGGCTGACAGATGCCTAGTATTTAGCCCCTGAATTCTAAAAAGAAATAGGGCGGAATAGCAAGCGAAAAGGGTCCAATGGTACTCACCACTTAGCAATAGGCGATGGTCTCACCGCTTGGCGATAGGCAATAGTCTGACCACTTGGTGATAGTCTCACCACTTGGCAATAGTCCCTTCGTGGTCACCAAAATGTGTCCGGAATTGGTGGGTTCTTGGTCTCACTGACTTCAGGAATGAAGCCGCAGACGCTTGCAGTGAGTATTACAGTTCTTAAAGATGGTGTGTCCGGAGTTTGTTCCTTGTGATGTTCGAATGCGTTCAGAGTTTCTTCCTTCTGGTGGGTTTGTGGTTTCGCTGGCTTCAGGAGCGAAGCTGCAGACCTTCACAATGAGGGTTACAGCTCATAAAGGCAGTGCATCTGGAGTTGTTCATTCCTTCTGCTGGGTTCCTGGTCTTGCTGGCCTCAGGAGTGAAGCTGCAGACCTTCGCAGTGAGTGTTACAGCTCATAAAGACGGCATGGACCCAAAGAGAGAGCAGCAGCAAGATTTATTGCAAAGAGCAAAAGAGCAAAGCTTCCACAGCTTCCAAGGAGACCAGAGGGGGTTACCGCTGCTGGCTCAGGTAGCCTGCTTTTATTCCCTTATCTGACCCCATGCACATCCTGCTGATTCCATTTTACAGAGAGCTGATTGGTCTGTTTTACAGAGAGCTGATTGGTCCGTTTTGACAGGGTGCTGATAGGTGTGTTTACAATCCCTGAGCTAGACACAGGGAGCTGATTGGTGCATTTACAATCCTGAGCTAGACACAAAGTGCTGATTGGTGCATTTACAATCCTCCAGCTAGACATAAAAGTTCTCTAAGTCCCCACCAGATTAACTAGATACAGAGAGCCGATGGGTGCATCCACAAACCCCGAGCTAGACACAGAGTGCTGATTGGTGCATATACAATCCTCCAGCTAGACATAAATGTTCTCCAAGTCCCCACTCGACTCAGGAGCCCAGCTGGGTTCACCTAGTGGATGCCCTGCAGAGGCGACAGGTGGAGCTGCCCGTGAATCCCGCGCTGCACCCCCGCACTCCTCAGCCCTTGGGCGGTCCATGGGACTGGGTGCCGCAGAGCAGGGGGCGGTGCCCGTTGGGGAGGCTCCCGCATGGTGGGCTACAGGTCCCGAGCCCTGCCCCATGGAGAGGCGGCTGACTCCCCGCGAGAATTCCAGCCTGGCGCAGGTGGGCCGGCAGTGCTGGGGTACCTGGCGTACCTTCTGAGGCTGTTGGCCTGGGTTCTAAGCCCCTCACTACCCGGCCCCAGAGGATCTGGCAAGCCACTCTGAGTGTGGGGCCCATGGAGCCCACACCCACCCGGAACTCATGCTGGCCTGTGAGTGCCCTGCGCAGCCCCGGTTCCTGCCAGTGCCTCTCCCTCCACACCTCCCCGCGAGCACAGGGAGCCGGCTCCGGACTCAGCCAGGCCAGAGAGGGGCTCCCACAGTGCAGTGGCAGACTGAAGGGTTCTTCAAGCACTGCCAGAATGGACCCTGAGGCCCAGGAGGTGCGGAGAGCGAGTGAGGGCTGCTAGCACGTTGTCACCTCTCAGGATCGTGGCCGCTCAGTGGCAATCCCTGCCCGCCCAAACCCAGTGGGAGGGACAGGGGTCCTGCCCGTCAGACCATGGCTTCCACCACTTTGGAGGCATGAGGGCAGGGCGGGGAAGACAAGGAAAAGGCGGTGAGGGTGTGCCACGCGCATGAAGTATCAAGGAGGCTGGGCTGAGCTGAACAGGGCCCCAGCGATGGTGGTGACTGTTAATCCACCAGCACCTTCCACGAGCAGAGGGCCCTCACGTCCGTTTCACAAATTGGGAAACTAACAGAGCCGTCAGGCGACATTTCCAAGAACACAAGTAGCAATGCCGAATGGAGAGCAATACCGGATGGAAAGCAACAGCAAACGGAGAGTAGTAATTCCTGTGGTAGTAATTCCCCTAGAAGATGTTTTGATAAGTTACTGAATAAATACGACAGCACAGTCTGAGTTGACTTTTTTTTTTTTGAGAGGGAGTCTCGCTGTGTCGCCCAGGCTAGAGTGCAGTGGCCGGATCTCAGCTCACTGCAAGCTCCGCCTCCCGAGTTTATGTCATTCTCCTGCCTCAGCCTCAGGAGTAGCTGGGACTACAGGCGCCCGCTACCTCATCCGGTTAGTTTTTTGTATTTTTTAGTAGAGATGGAGTTTCACCGTGTTAGCCAGGATGGTCTTGATCTCCTGACCTCGTGATCCGCCCATCTCGGCCTCCCAAAGTGCTGGGATTACAGGCTTGAGCCACCGCGCCTGGCCTTTTTTTTTTTTTTTTTTCCTAATGGGGCCTTACTTTTGTCACCCAGGCTGGAGTGCAATGGTGCGATCTCAGCTCACTGCAACCTCCACCTCCCAGGTTGAAGTGATTCTCCTGCCTCAGACTCCCGAATAGCTGGGATTACAGGTTCCAGCCACCACACCCAGCTAATTTTTGTATTTTTAGTAGAGACGGGGTTTTGCCATGGTGGCCAGGCTGGTATTGAACTCCTGACTTCAGGTGATCTGCCTGCCTGGACCTCCTGACCTGCTGGGATTACAGGCCTGAGCCACCACGCCTAGCCTGGAAATGGAAGTTTGACAGAGGTCATCAAGTTAAAATGAAGT